AAGGGAGTAATGTCTAGGGGGTCGGATAAGGGCTAGAATTAGGACACGCGAATAGGCCCCCATGGACTTCAGTACAGGACCACAGGGGCATACCTATTTCCGCATTTAGTCCATTTTTTGTAAATTTTAGTCAATAACCCACGAGTTCCGACGGAGACTGGACTATAAAGTGAGAAAAAGGAGCCCTTTTTTGCTACACCTATCTTTAGTTTAGCACTACTTTCCCGTAAATAGCATGAAGTAGAGGCTTATTTCGTCCCAGCAAGGGGGGGGGCTGGTTTCTGTACGCGGATCAACAGACACAAAATCAGGCGGATTCATGCTTCCAAGGAGAAGCAACGCGTGCAAAAATTATGGAGAGAGGGGGGGACAGGTCGTCATTTGACGATACACAGGCACCCAGGGTTGTCAAGATTGGTGTTCTTTGTCCGCGGAAGCTTTTGTGTCTGACAGCTGGTACGGTCATTCAATGGTTAAGACTCTACCACGAAACATCCTCTCTTAAAGAGCGCATTTAAACAGGTCCTCCGCAACATGTTTATGGCTACCGAGATGGCGACATTTGCTAGTCAGTGGCAAAGGATTCGTACTGCCTTCCTCGGTCCCTTCCAGCCCATAAAAGTGACGCGGCCCTGCATCACAAAGGGCTAGTGGAAATCCCAGTCTGGCAATCGGACGCAGTGATGGGAGAAAGAAAAGGGAGTGGACGTGCCAGCTAATTGGCAAAGGACATTGCAGTCTGTTCCCTGTTTCGGAGCTTGAGGTGTTCTTAATCCCGGTATGAGGAAGTCCTGCCCTCCTGAATCATTAATATCCCGACAGATGGTGATGCTTGCAGGGTAGAGACAGAGACTCCTCGCCGCTGGAGTTGCTACGGTTACCGCCAGGGCCGTTACCGTTAATAAGAGAGGGAAGACAGAACCTTCTGCTCTGCAAACTGAACCTCTTTGGCATTGACTTCAGACGCCGGGTAGGATTTAATAGAAGACTAGCGATTCCCAGTGGACCCTTTATGGGTCACGTTAATGTGTAACAGTGCTTAAATGCCTGTTTCGCCCCCCTCCCTAGACTGACAAAATATTGCTGGGCTGAAAAAGTCCCCCAAAAAAGCGCCAAAGACAACCGATTCCGCAGTATCAGCGGCGCCTGGCAGTTACGACGTTTGCTGGGACAGTCCAAATCAGGATGCATGCAACATACACACAGGTCATTTAGTGAAGGGGCATTAAAATAAGGTCAAGAATAGAGGTTGCGTGGGCGACAACCTCGCGGTCAACGGACAGGCCACCCGCGCTGTCTTTATTAAAACCATAGCAACGCGATCTAGGAGGGCAGTTGAAAAAAAGGATCCGGCGGTAGAGGATTCTGGTCCAAGCGGCGAGCCTCCAGCGACAGATAAAAGATGGCAAGGACACAACCAGTACTCAAACCGCCGCCTGGATGTCTGCGTTAGCTGCCTGGAGCGTCAGAATTAAACCTGGGCCTGTATCATACAGCGGTGGACTAGACGTTGGAATAAGGTCTGATTCCTGCTAGAGTTGCGCTTGCATGCGCGTAACACGCGTATGTCGGAAGTAAATGCTCTACTAGCTACTGCGTCTCGCCTTGCTCAGTCAACTTAATTCCTGCTGGTCCCAGTTGTCTGATGAAACCTGGAGGAGACAGTTGGATTGATTCTGGCTGGCAGGGCACCATTATAAGAAGATTGGCGTACTACGAGCCACCACAGTATCTTAGTATAGGCCGCGGGCTTTTCAATCTGAGCCGCCATTTCCCCCTCCCTCTAATCGCATGTAAATTTTTTCATATGGACGTCGGTTGGCCTACTTCGCCCATTAGAAACCGATTTGTATCGCTCTTTGTTTATTTGAAATACAATAAAGTCATTAAGGCACAAGGTCACAACGCTAGCGCTGCTTTGAAAGCAGTTCAATTTGGCCTATATTCGACGACACTTCCTAGGACATCTATCCATGATATTGAAAATTGCAGTCATTTGCGATTATGGACTATTTTTGATATCCCGGTGTTGTGGGTTTGTGCGCCTAATTTTATTCCTTTAGAACGGAGGACATTTTTGCTGAAAAATTTGGAATTATATCCTCAAAACAAAGCGTATCAATCTCTTTTTCATCTTAGACGCTGTGGATTGGAAATTTGTCAATTTTGTCGGGATAACCTGCCCCCCCCGCCCTCCGGGACCAAAATCCAGGCAACGTTGGCTACCCTTCTAAGGTGATCTTATACCACTCGTCAGCGTGATATTCGGGGTGAGTGAAGTCTGGGTATGGCAAACCGACACGCGAGGTGCGGGGAGGGGGGAGGGGGCGTGGAAGAATTTTGAATCCATAAATGCGCCTATGCTCATCTACGGTAATTCCAACTAAGGTCCTGGTTTGAGAAATGGCGGATGTGGAAATGTGTAATTAGGTCACCACTGCTAACTCCCTCTGCCTTCAAGTAATAATGCTGTGTGGCGAGCTGTGTGTGCATAACTATTTACATTTTTAGGCCGTTCTTTGAAAACGTGCTGTGTTACTTGTCCAGAGGCAGGGCAGAAAATGGAAACGCGATTCAGTGTCTTCGACTACCATGGACATAGGACATGCATGTGAAAATTCTGCACTCCAGATCCGTACTCCTCAAACGGACTGTTAGCGATACTAATCGTAGTCAGCAGCCTGGGCTGTCTAAGAGACGTCTGAACACGGAAAGCGCGCAACATTTGAACCACTGTAAGGTACGTGGAAATCGAACCAATAAATGTACCCGCATAAATGCGTCTCCACAGACAGGGATTAGCCAGCCAGTTGACGTATCTTCCGTCTTTTCGAAAAATTGTTCTTCGCCCATCTAGCTTGTCAGAACGTCCACAAATAATTTAGATCTCTAAACAACATACAAATGTTTGAACCGTGGCCTATAACGAAAGTTATGATCAACAGGATACCAGGACAGTGCACGCTTTATGGACAATTGACCAAAGTCCTGATCTCCTGATTGCAGGCAGGACACTTAGAGTAAACTGACGCATATTTGGGATCAGGACCTAGACTAAACCAAGCTCAGTAGCAACTATCACGGGCTCTCAAAACATTAACCATGCGCCACATGGAAGACAGAAGCTTTAAATCACGTGAGTCAGCGTGTATACTCAGTCTGACTACTAATTGCTTCGGGTAAAGGAGAGAAGTTGGTTGCGGTTGGCTTCGCAATCATTCCCCAAGCTGTTCCCTTCTACGAAAAACACATTTGGGCCGTCCACCATAAAATCCCCGCTGGACAAATTCCAGTTACCAGACGCTCGCGTACATTATCGCCACGCGCGGATACATCAGTTTGGAAAGGTCAGACATTCCCGATTTAATTTGGGGCACGACTGGAGAAGATGAGCCCATTATGTGGTCGGCACCGTGCAACTCAAACGGGCCGCGTGGTATATGTGCTGGACCAACACGAGGGCCAGATCAGAGTACGGTAGATATTATTTGAGTTG